ATATAATTTCCCAACATACAAAGTTTGATTAATATAGCACGCGCAAGTTCATACTCAAACCGGTTTACGATTTATCTTATCAGTCTTGATAATTTTTGATTAGACCTCGTATGTTTGATAGCGTAATGATTTTACGTAAAATTATATTTTGTACATTTTGGCATTTTTGGACTTTAAGGGCGTATAATAAGGATCTTTATACATTTCCAACATGATTTTTATCATTATTCTTTTTATTTTTTTTACAGTATATTTTAATATTTTTAGTCCACAACTACATATCTATACATATATATTTTAGATCTTTAGGGTAAAGAAAATACTCGAATATATATTTTCCCTAATTATCAAAACAATTGATCGTGATATTGTAACTTTCCACTCGTTACGGTATTCCTTAAAGGTAAAAATAATCTACTAATTTGAAAATTCGTTTGTTTGTTTATTTTTTATAAATTGTGTATATATAAAAAAAAATTGGTAGGTAAATGCATAGGGTAGATTTAATTTATATTTGTACACAAAGATATAAATCATTATAAACAAGATTCTGAATGTATTTCGGTTAAACACCCATTTTGGTATGAACTTGAATTTAAAATTGTATTAATTTATAACTAAAAAACAAATTATAATTTTTCGGCTCCAATTATAGAGTATTTGTATGCAATCAAAAAAGTTTTCCCATCACATACAATGGAAAATATTACTCGAAATGCTGTGATTATTACGATTTTCATCAAAATTTGAATGCATTTATAAAAAAAAAAAAATCATGATTACGGATCTTCGATATTTTCATAATAGTATAAGATTAACCTATAATGAACTTTTTATCGAGCTTTTTGGTATTTTTGAGAAGTCAAAACAATTTTATTAACACAAAACAAAAATTGTGTTTATAACCGAATTACAACAAAAAAACTCCCAAAAATTAAAATTCCTTAAAAGCTCAAAAGTGGCTCTAAGAATGACGGCTCCTATAACACTATTCTGCAACGATTTTATTTGTCATCTTGTACCGTTACATAACTTCGGTGGTTGAAGATTACGTAATAATGTAATCGGAGTACCAATTTTTAATTTTAGCTTATGGAGAGGAAATCCCGAAGGAGAAAGAGAATTGAGAAATTATTGTAGATATAAATATATAAAGATTAATACGAATATTCGGTATACATGTTGTTTGGTGTGCGTGCGATAAACTTCTCGGAACAATTCGTACCTACACGCCGATGTCAAACACGATACAATTTGACGAACAAAAAGGTCAGGTCGCGGGTAGCTGTAAACCCGCGGGCCGCCGTGCCGCACAATACGTATATAATATGGGTAGACAATTTTTTAATTTTTCAAGAACTTTATACTTATTTTTTTTGACAAAAGTGGTACTAAAACCTTCAGGAGAGTGTAGGGTACAACGGTAAAAAATTTCAGCCAAATCGGTACGGTGGTTTTCTCGGTTAGTGCGGTCGTAGAAAACCCCTTACAATTTTATATAATAGTATAGATAACGAAGTTATAATAATAACAATATAGTATAGATTATTTTGTGTCTGTCGCTTTTATGCCTAACCTAACTTATCTAGTGGTTTGTCGGAACCATATTTGGTCGGAAAAATATCTATAATAAATATATATTTCAATATTTTACGCGCCTCCAAATTGTAATCTGATGACGAGTACAATATTACATTTCGTTTACGATGATATCGTTTTGAATATAATATTTATTTTTAGATTTAACATAAATAATAATCGAAATATATTCAATTTACCTATAGGTATTAAATTTCATTGAATTTATAAACGTTTAAATTGACCACACGACAAAAAATCGTCGTATGCTCTCACACAATTATTTTATAGAATATTTTTTTTCAGCCAAATTAGGGAGACTCACGCCCACTGTGCCCTTTCCCTGGATCCACCACTGTATCATATCTACTATATTACACATTTATCGTGGGTTCATGTTCATTTTTAGGCTAATGCAATTATTAGAATTCACCATTATTTAAAAACATTTTTTTTATATTAATCATGGCATCACGGGAATGACTTTCTGGGTTTAAATATAAGAAAATTAGAGAAGCTAAACAAAAATATATTGATAGGAAGTTTCACACAATTTTTATTGAAACCTACAGTAATTCAACAATCAAATTCAAGTGTTATTATTCATTGTCTCAATAATGTATTAAAATTGTGTACTATATATTTTGCTTTTGACGGAAGAAGCGACATTATGTTTGCCGAAGGGCGGAAAATTTCTCGCGACGGGCCTGAAACTACCTGTCAAGATCTCTATTTTTGTACTCCGTTATAAATTGTTTATTTCGATTTTTATATCTCGAACTCGATGATCTTGTGCCACGTTTGGTAAATGGGTGCTTCTTAGTTTAACATAGAGACATTAGTATGTACTTCATCAATCAAAATCAAAGTATTGATAGACGGCGATTCTTTATAAAAACTTGTATTAAAATTCGAATGTAATGGCACACAATTGTTAGTCATTCGTGTTAAACTTGGACTTGCCGATGCCCAAAGTATTGAAGGGTAATCTTTTAGATTGACACTAATCAACTGAGTAGTCTAAATATTTACCAACTTAGTAATTTTTGGGATGATCAGTCATAAAGTTGTCAACAAATTGAAACATTCAAAAACTTCACTTGGTTCTAAGAAAAGTAAGCCATAAGTATGATGCAACCATTTTCCTACTTTTAAAGATTGATCCTGGTAATCAGGGGATAGCTTTAAATTTTAAATTTGACCACGCTTGGATAAGGTGAAATCTACAATCGATAATTTTAGTTTGTGACCAGATTTCATGTATGCCATTTATTAACTATAGATTTTTCGAAATCTGTAATTATGTACTTCGGTAATAATTGCACACCTATAACACCTATAGCGTAGAACATTTGTCAACAATTAACTGAAATGTTTATATATATTTCTTTAGTTTTACTAGGTATTAAACAAAATGAATTAAATTTTCACAATGATCATTTACCACAGAATTATTTTCAGTACCTATATAATTATTTAAAACTAATAATGGTTTTCCACGTTTACTTTCAATGAATTCAATCATTCTGTTACGACCGACGTGTAGGTATTTTATGGATGGATCAAAAATCAAACTGTTTTTATTGGTAAAATAAGAAAATAAAATTAATGAAATACTCTAAAACGTTGTTTGCCAAATAATGCCTATATTTTACTGTTAACAACGCGATTCGGTTCAAAAGTATTAACTAGGCTACGTCGTAACGGTCGGTTTCGTACATATCGAATAAATGTATCAACTGATAAAACAAACAAGATTAACAACAATCGATAGCATTGGGGAAATACGATAATCAGCCATAAATTTATCATTGGGCGAAATTACAGTACATTATAGATATCTTATAACGAAAAAATAATAATAATAAAAGACGTCCTAGGATAATGGGGACGGATGCAGCTACTGTTATAGATAATATAGTTCAGTTGATAGTGATGCTTTTTCAACAATATATATGTCATATTATATATATTTTCTTTAATAATATTTGTTTAATGTTATACGAATTTTCCCAGTTTCCCTACTTTTTCCCGGTTTTCCTATTTTTTAACATAATTTTATCATCAATTTATGGTCCATGCAAACCGATCATGTCCTTAAAATATATTATGGATGCCCACGTCTACTCAGCAAAATATGTTTCACGGTCGAACAAGAACAGCGCGTTAATGTCGCGGACTGGTGCGTTTATTCAATAAAAACTATTAAAAAGATTATTAAAATATTATTGTAAAAATCACTCTTCACCAGGACTTCGGGTGGAAGGCCCGGAAAACAAGCCCAGTCAGTTCAAATAAATAGTGTTATATTTTGGAAGACTCGTTGAGTTACTACTATGAAGACTTTCATATAGTTCATTAGAAACAATGTAAAAAACTTATTTGTATGAACAAATCTATTAAAAAAAAAAAAAAAAATGGTGAGAAGTTGAGAAGGTAGAGGGTAAATTTATTATATATCTATACCGAATGATTAACCATTGCTTACGAAAAACGATTCTGAGCTGAGTTCGGTTAATAGTGTTGCATTATCAACAATGCATATGTCATACTATGATAAAATAATTACATAATATGCATTATATATTTTCTTTAATAATATTTGTTTAATATTGTGCTTATTTTCCCATGTTTTATTAATTTATTGGGAAAATTCTAGAAAAATCAAAAAACCTCTAATAGTACCACCCTTGTCAGATTTTCTGTCAGAAAAAGTACTATTATAGTAAATCGGAGCAAAATTGCTGACAGAAAAGTTGTCTACAGAAAATAAAATAAACATCGTTGTAAAACCAACACATTTCTCGCTCCGTTCAGAATCTAAAAAAAGGCTGATACTGCAGATGGGTGTGGCATTGTTATAGATAAGAAGTTGGGAAGGTAGTATACTTAAGGATATCTAATTTATATCTGTAACCAACAATAAACGATTTTGAGTGAAGTTTGTTTATACATGATTTGTAAAGTCTTAATATTTAAGGTAGTCACAGTGTTACTACCAATGTGTTATACTTAAAATAGTGGATAAAGTGACTAAAATTTATAAAAAAGTAACTTACTTAAATACATCAATAAAACGATTTTCATAAAATTTAGCTTTATTTATAAATATGTTATTATAATTGTGCACAAGATGCATTTTATAATTTGTATTGAACATACCTAACCATAAAATTGTAATAAGATAAAAACATATACTTATTTTTAAATGTAGGTAAAATATATAAATACTTATAATTATTAAATTAACAAGTAGGTACATTGTATACCAACTCAAAGAATCGATTATTTTTCATCTTGACAAAATTGAAAAATACAAACTTTTTATTAATTCTTGATAACATAATGTGTTACAAAATATATTTATTATGTAAATACCGAAAAATACGTAAAAAGGTTACAGATTATATTCGGTTGTCCAACCAGCATTTATAACAATGTTACAATCAATAAAATTATAGATATTTATTAACTTAGGTAACTAAAATATAATTTAGTTCAGTCTTTATGCAAAAAAAAAATATATATCACTTCTTGTATAACAATAAATCTCAAAATATTTGAAAAAAAATGTATTAAATTAAATAGTTCGAAAAAATGTACGACAAATTCAAAATAAAAAAAAGTGACATTTAGTTGAAAAAGTGACAACCCTGTAGTCATAAAAATGTGATCTTAAACACAATTTAAAAAAAAAAATTAAATTGAAAACAATAAAACCATTATATTCATAAACTTTCCCGTTCTTTTATCGGTTTTGCTCAATTATTAATAATGTGTATAACACGGAAAATCAAAAAATTACTTTCTTAAAGTCAACAAGATTTAAAATTGAACAAAAAGGGCCCCGGCGTTTTTCGATTAAAGCAATTTATTTCCGAGAGAAAACAAATCGTACCTAAAAATTTGACTTAAACGCCATAAATTAATTTTTTTATTTCTGTCTTCTTCTGATTATTTCCAATTATTTTTTAAAAACCATTTGAAATATTATAAAACGACTTATTTACTCAACAACTATATCCAAAATTAAACATAAAAGTTATCTTGTATTCTTGTGGTTTTTTGATTGAATCAAGATTTCTAGTAGAAACCACAGTTCCCTGAATTTTAAAATAATGAAATCATACGCCGTAAATTTGTTTGTTTTCATTTTTTCAGTTCTTCCCAATTATTTTGAAAATTGCCGGATAATTCAACAAATGACCTTTTCAATGCATCAACTATATGTACACAATTTTCTTTCAAAAAGGTGCTACACTTGATACATCGGAGGAACTTTTCGAATAAAAAACTTGCACCCACAAAAAAAAAAGGGGCAGATACTAGGAATGGATGGGCCCACTGCTGTAGGATAGTGTCAAAGATGGGATGCATAAGGTTATTCAATTCTTATCTGTAATCAACGATAACCATTAATAAAAAAACGATTCGGAGGGAAGTTTAAATATATATGTTAAATCGTTGACGAAATTTCAAAAAAATCGTTTATTTTGGTTATTCCCAATTATTATGAAAATCACTTTGGATATTGAAAAATGACTTACAATGGCGAAATATTAATAGGAATAAAATCTATCTCTGGTCATTTTTCGATAGAAGTAATATTTCTAAAAGAAAACTTAAGTGTATTATTTTATATATATATTTTTAACATAATGAACATGTTAACGCCATAAATATTACGCTGTATTTTTGGGAATAGAAATTTCATTCATTCAAAATTCACCCGATTTAAAAATGGTTTTTCTCCATACTTTAAATAATTAATTTTACAAAATATCAATTTTCAAGTTTTTTTTTTTTTTAAATTAAACAAACATTTTAGGGGTTCTTGACTTTCTTTATTTTAGACCAAAGGAGTCTATTAGTCATATAATACATTGAATAAAAACTAAACTACAATATCTGCATTATATTTCGAATTACGACTACTGACTTTCCAATTTACATACCAACTGTATAAATGTACCTACACAAATATTGGTGCATTGTTTCACTGTTATTAGTTTTTTCTGTTAGTATTTTTACTGTTATTAATATTAATAAAAGTAGTATGATTAATAAATGACAACACATAATTTAAACTAATTGGTCATCTCAGATAACAATTTTTTTGTCTTTCTAATTAATAATTGTATAATGATTAAAACAAATTCCCAAATTTTAATGATTGCAAAATTAAGGCATTACAAAATAATCTGTTTAAGTTGCAATAACTGTCTGGTGACCTTCATAATTCAACGATGAAACCATCTCATACCTACCAAAATGAAGTAGCATGAAAGTCCTTGAGTAGCTCATTAAACACAATTACCTTGCAAGTACTACTATAGAAGTGTGTCATTATGTATACATTTCGAAATTACGTGATGACAATAATAGTACAAGTTCAGCGAAATGTTTAATACAATTCCTAATATTATCAAAGATTTCTTAATTAACAAATTAAAATTCAATATAATGAGATTTATAATATTTCCATAAAAACACAGGTACAACATATTAGATATTTCACCACTGATTAGTTTCACTTGTTGATTCTATAAGACAAGTTAAAATTTAAAAATTATTACGAAAAATATTAACAAATAAGTATGTGTATTTGACACATGAATTTGAGAACAGATGTATAGATTTTGAATCACAGTTAAAAAAATTTTAATTTTGTAGTGTTAGGTAATCCACATTTATATACCATCACTGTTATTTATTTAGTACTTAGTTCACTTATGTGTAGGTATACCGTATATTGTATATAAGTAACCTATAAAATGGATGAAGATTTTGTAAAAAAATTTAAATGATTCAAAAATCAATTTGAAGATCAAGATCACAACACGTCATTATCCCAAAAAAAAGGAGCTATTTCTGTGAATTTTATACAATTTTAAAAATAGAAAAATAATTTATATAAATTTGAGAAGTAGGATTATCTAGTCACAGAAATGTAATAAAGAATTAATTATATACAATATGTTATAGTAATAAATTAAAATCATATTTTAAATATTAAAATAATGACATCTAATAACATACCTATAATAATGTATAATTCAATAATAAGTAATAACTAATATAATTAAATAGTTATAATTTAATAAGGCAATGGAAAAATAAAATATAGTTCCACAAAACAGGTACGTAGGTAAAAAATATTTTATTTTAAAAAATACTGACTAAAATTGAAATCATTTTTATAATACATTGTACATAGTTACTCTTCATTTTATTTACTTTTTTCTGATAATATTTTACCAAGAAAAACAATATACATTTGTAATTACGTGTAAACAAGTTATTCTACAGAATCATTCTTAAACAATAATCCAAAATTAAATGTTATTATATTTTGCCCATAATGGATTGTTGATTAATTTCAATAGTATTGCAAATAATTTGTGACACAACATTATAGTGGTGCAATTGTTATATCGCATTTCACATTTTCATCAAAAAATATATAATATATTTATATATATTGCATGCCACTTAAGTAACATTTTGGGAGCATTACCAATTTTCCCAACCTAAGAACAAATAAATATAAAGAATATAAAATATTGATTTATATAGTTATAACACAAATAGATATAGGTTTTCTATAAAATAATACTATCTTTTTATATCTTAAAAATTATTTATATTGCGGGTCAAGTTAACAAAAAGAAGTAAAACATATTAAATTAAATGTAGGTACATTGTACATTACAAAATACTCAAAAAAATCTAGAAAAAAAAAAAGGGTAACACAAAAATTTAGATAACATGTCCATATTTAAAAAATAAAAATAAAAATAAAGATAGAGAGAAATATTTAATAAAACATGATAAGTTATACGATTTAAACTAAATTTATTCAGCGCCAATTCATATTGCACTTATTGAACTATAATTCTAAAACTAAAAGGTAATATATCATTAAATTAATTATTATTTAATCTTAATACTTTAAATTGAATTTTATAGGCACTGATTTTAATACAAAATCAATTTACCATGTTAAAGATAAATTATTTCAGGAAGTCAAATTTAATATGTTAAAATTTAACAAATCTGCACTAAAAACCTTCCCATAAGTTTGAGATCAGGAAAAGTTTATTTAAATTATTTTTAATGTGAATGATTGAACAAAAAATTAATCATTAAATTAAAGTAAAATGGCACGCCATAATATTTAAATATAGTGGTGGTTTAATAAATTATAATGAAAACCCTTTTCTGAACTATAGATAACTTTATATATGTAACTATTCAAAGTAAAAAAAAAAAAACAATATTAAATATATATGCATTGTTTAAATTAAGCGTAGATTTACTTTTTTTCTATGGTTTTTCTTTTTTTTATAAAACTTGAAGAATACATAATTGTCAAATGCAATAGTACTTTGGATATTATTATTATTTAGTATTAACATATTTTATTTTGACTAAGCCTACACAGTATTTCTAATAGGTCTACACATCAATACTATTTTAAAATAAAACAAGCACTGAAGCTTAAAATGAACTTAAATATAATCAAAAATAAATTATTTTAGTATTTTAAATGTAAAATATAATAATATAATTATTATTTAGGTACTTAAAATTACTTTTGTTAAATAAAACCTTATTGTTTGACTTAAATTTAATAAAAACCGTTAGTAAACATATTTAGTAATTCACAGATGAGACTGACAAATTTGAATAAAATGTATATTCATTTTTATCTCATGTGTTTTGAACTCAATTTTTAACAGTCTTCATTGGAAAAAAAAATAGGTATGTACACAATAAAAGAAGATGAAAATCAAATTGACTGTACTGCAGCAGGGCTGAACTGTATTTGTTGATTACACTCGGATTCGGATCTTTCAGTGTCAGATTGTACACTAGTACGAGCCAATACACGTGCACTATTATTTTTTAATAATGCCATTTGTAATGAGTGCCTACGATTTAATCTCTGTACACATGAAACACATAATGTAAGAGGCAATCCATCAGAAGACTTGATCTGAAACAAAATAAAACATAATATATATATATATATATATTTTTTTTTTTTATACATGTATATAATGAATACAAATTTTAGTGTACCACCTATACAGAGTGATTTATTAAGTATAGCCAGTATAGGAATTTTTTAAATGTAGTTTAAATCATTATTTTTGAATACAATTTTTTTTTTTACGATTTGCATTAAAACTTATGTCAAATGTTGACTGTCTACATCAGATTTTTTTTGAAAATTTTGACATATTCTATTTAAAATTTGAATAAAAAAAGTTCATTCTACTTTAAAATACTAAGAACATTCTAAAAAGCATAATTTATGTGACAGCGAAGTGAGCTGCTTTTTCATAGTGTTTCACTATATCCCTCAACCCAAATTTAAAAGTGGAAATCTCATGAATGACAATAAAAATGTATTTAAACTAATACTCCAACTATATATGGTATTTTTAATAATGATTCTCATTTGTAAAACCAAAGTTTATATTGCCGCAGGATACTCCTTAAATAATACCATAAAAAATATCAGCTTTAACAAGACTTAAAAATTCCAAAATTAGAATTTGGATGTATGCAAAATTGAATGATAAAAATGGGGCGAGCATACTTAATGAATCACCCTGTATATAAATATTGTGTATTTTGTAAATATATAAATATTAATTAAATAAATAACATGTATGACTTCTAAAATATATCATGATGATGAATTGTTTTATTATTAAAAGTCCTTTAGTAATAATGAATTTATACAGTGATCAATCTACTGTGAGAAACATTCATTATCTCGAAAAGTATATAATTTTCTTTTTTTTTTTAGAATTTTCTTTTTAAAAAAGAAAAATTGTTTTAATGTTTTACATTGCCTACATTTGTTGTTGCAACACTGCCTAAATTGTATTTTCAATTAGTAATTGTCATTAGAATTTTATTATTTCAAGTAAAACAACATTACCTATCTATTTAGGAATTTATGTTAGATATTAACAAATGTGTCATGATAAAATAAAATAATTTAAATGTGTACTTATTGAACAAGATATTAAATTAGATAACAAAAAAATAGTCAATACCTACTGCTGACAGGTATATCACCACTATTGTAGGTGGGAAGTTGGGAAGGTTGATACATAAGAGTTATTTAATTTATATCTATATGGAACGATAAAACATTGTTAATGAAATTTAGGTTCAAGTTCGGTTAAACATGTTTTGAAAATTCATGACTTTTACAATTTTTTTTTTTGTAAATTGGAATTTAAAACGCTACTAGTAGGGCTATGAATTCATGAGAGTATTTTTATTTTGTTGATTATAAAACTTGCGTTCAATTTTTGTGCATTCTGCTAAATCAAAACAATTTTATCTGGTTAAGTACGAAATAAAAACTAAAAACTGCACAATTTCAAGTATATAAATTTCGAAAATTAAATTCTTAAATTTTTAAAAATAGCTAATTTTAACATTCTGTATATAAATCAGGTTTTTTCGATTATGTTTAACAGTACCTACTTATACTAAGAAACTTAATAATTAAATATTGCTAACTAAAAGGAAAATCAAAACGACTTTGCCCATTTACCAACTAGACAAACAATTATTCCCGCAATTTTTAGAAAAAATGATACATTTGATCAAAGCAAGATTTCCAATATTAAAACTTTTTCAGAAACCAAAAAAAAAACAGACACACATACATACTTACTAAAACTAATATATTCCATTGATTAAAATCAATATGTTCTTGGTACCTTACCGTAATTAAAATTTAATACTTTATCAAATTGTTAAGGTTTCCTCTTGTGTATTCTTTAATACAAAATCATAAGTAAATTTATAAGATATTTTTTACTGTTGATAACATACAATTTATTGAATAATCTCGATAATATTGAAATACAACATTAGTACTAATGTAGTTTTTATTAAAATAAACATAAAAAAAAAATTGTTACTCATAATAAATACTTCCATAAATAGGTATGTAGGTAATGTAGTTTTAGTTGAAATAATGAAATTCCCATAACAATTGCCAACTGAAAATACAGTTTTGGTAGTGGTTGCAACACCAAATAAAAAAAAATAAGACAATGTAGAACATTAAAACTATTTATCTTAAAATTTTTAAAAAGAAAATTCTCAAAAAATTGTATACTTTACGAGATAATGAATATATCTCACAGTAGATTGATCACCCTGTATAAATTCATTATTATTAAAAATCCTTTTAATAATAAAACAATTATCATTATTCATAAAAAAAAAATATGTTTGTAAATGAAAAAACCTACAGCAAATATAGTCTAAAAAACCATTCAGACTAGGCATCTAGTGTTAGTTATGAGTACAACCCAATAAGTATTAAGAGAAAAAAATGAAAATTTTCGAAATATACATGACAATACATTTATTTGGATTGATTATAAATAAGATTTCTTACACATGTTAATGAACTTGATAATCATCATATTATAACAAGAATCTAACCTAATTATAATTTAGAATCTTCTAAGGAATTCGCTGAGGATCAGAGGATACAATTTATTTTATTAAAAGAGAACTATACTCTATTCAGAATAATAGTACACTGGTCCATGCATGCACAACTGCTGCACATGGTGCTGTACGATGGGCAAATGAGTAGAGGCAACAGTGCAGGTTGCAGAGTGGGATTATTTGCACAGACACTGGAGTGTTTTTGTCCTCACTCCAGTTTATTCATGGTTTACTTTTATTCTGAATTGAGTATAGTAGAATAAAAGAAAAAACACGTAGGTACCTATGTTTAAAAATAAAGATTTAGATTAACCAAAAATGTTTAATTTGAAGCAGGTACCTAAATACTACATTTTTTAACATTCTATTATGAAAAACGTACAACTACTAAAAGTAGATATAAGACAGATAGGTATACTTAAAAAGTCACCTTAGGTATATCTTTTGTCTGCACAATAATTTTGTAGTACTACATTTTTTTCTAAGCTAGATAAAAATAAAAACTACTAACACATATTCCTACATGAATAACCAAAGTGATTACTCATTTCTTAATCCATAAAAATCAACATACTTGATTACTCAAAATAATATCGTTAAATCCATTCCTTTCTTCTAAAATATTATAAAATGAAAAAAAAAACTTTTATTTTAAATAATAAGTATGAAAATTTATAAAAACTATAAATAACAAATCAAGGGCACTTCAATGTTATTGTTATCACAAGTTAATTTTAAAAAAAAAAAACCAATTGTCAAATCCACAACCAGAGATATTTGTTAATATTAAAATAATTTAGTATGGTTTAAAATCAAACATTAGTTTTTTAAGGGACCTATAACAAAAAACAAAATGATTCAATAATAATATTACTTATTTGTTTTATATTTTGTAGCCTACTACTAGGTACCATCTTTTTTTTATTTATTGCATATGACGTAGTATTAGTGTACAAAAGATAAATAAATATAACAATCAAAAATAATAACAACAGTATTATTACTATCTTTTAAGTACATATTACTAAAACATACACCTATATACCTACTAAATAAGCATTATTAATATTAAGACTTGTAAATTGTTCTAATACCAAAAGGCTAATTATTAAATTATAAATAAGTATCTATTTACATGTAGTTATAAAAATTAAATTAAAACATACAGGTACCCACCTAACAATATAAAAGAACTTATTATCAAATGAAAGAAAGGAATTTAATATAGGTACTAGGTACATAAGCATGGAAAAATAAAATTGTACCTATAAGTTAATTTTTCAGTAGGCTATCTAAATATAAATATAAGTACTATGATCTAATTTTTATTTCAAACAATTTGTTAAGATAAATAATTAAGTGAGCTGCCAATCATTTGAAAACATAAATATGTTGTAAATAGGTACCAGGGTATAAAAAAATCCCTCAAAATCTCATCTTATAATACTTTCCAGTGCCACGGAACCTCATTTATATGACATCACCATTGCTAAAATTGCATACTGTCGGATTTCATTAGTGTAACCAATTTAATATCCTTGACTTATTTTTGAATAGGTACCTACTTTTAATTTAAAATATATCCAAAGAGTAGGTAATCGAGTATATCGGGTTAGGTCAAGGTTACTTCTAGACCATGGGAAATACTAAAAAAGATCATCAGAGTATTGATATTCCAGTATTTGACCTGATAAATTTCAATAAAATATAATTTGTAAATAGAACAAAAATCACAATTCACTTAGAAAGCCAATATTGCATAAATCCTTGAAGTGCAAAAAAAAGTAGTGTGTTTAATAAATTTAAAAAATTCCGAATAAATGTAGAATACTTGTATAGGCTTAAACCCATGGATAAGTCATGTGCGCAATATATTATTATGCAGACAATATATTATGTACTTAGAATGCTATATGGATACAAAATAAATTTAATAACGATTACTGATCATTTAATAATAGTAGTACCTATATTGTGTATACATAAGGAGCTCAAGCATCAAGGCTGTGGCGTCCTCGACGTCTATGAAAGTAACACACTTTTAATAACCCTGAAAAAAAAAAATAGTTCACCAAAAACCTGAGGTCAAGGTTGTGGTAATGATGGACCAGCAATAGGTAAAAAAATTGTCCCACAAAAAAAATAATATCCAGGAGATGAAAACAAATAGAAAATTGGAAATACGTCCAAGATTGCCGGGCCCAATGATGGTTGGGACGTTTCGTCAAAAATCAAAATATTACGTTACCGTGTATAGCTTGTGTTTCTACACACTTTTTAGCACTAAATCAACGGCCCGTGATAACGCAACACACGCGCAGACGGACACAATCTATAAGCGCGCGTGTATGTGTGTGCATATACATATAACATTACTACACACACACACCGATTTCATCATACGCGTTTCGAAACATAATAATGAAATTCAATAGGACAAAAATATAAAAATCTACACCCGAATTTAGACATTGAATAGGTACCTAAAACGTCCTATACAGTTGCCCGATATGTTTTATTAACAATTTAAGCCATGACAGATGATAATAGTTTAATATTGCCTACCTTTATGGGCAAATAGTCCCTGATCTTTTGGACCAAATTGTATTTTCTGCCTAGTTCGCCATAAATATGAACAACACGTTTATCGATTTTAGAACACAAACGACATATGAAACCGCAACGGACAGCGTTGTTCACGCTACCCATTTAGACGTGTGGTCGATTACGGCGAAGACAACAGACGAAAAACCACCAGACACACAAAAAGCAGCGTCGGCGAACTGCGCGAGATCGATCGACTCACGAATCACACGATAGGCAAAGACGGCGGGTGACGGAACACACACGTCACACGCACACAAACAGAACTGTTGGTAGTTGGTAGTGTTGGTACTTTGGTAGTCTGCGGTCGATGGAGGTGTCGTTGGTCATGAGTTGTAACTGAAGTACGCGACGACGTCAGCGGGAGTGAGACGAACCACTAACTAGTAACGAGCTGATATTTGACCGTTGAGAGAATAATAAAATAGTAATATGTATAGATATTGTTATAACAATCGCGAATTCGTGAGATTTTTTTTATCCACCGATGATAGGTCCGCCGCCGAAATGACAACTTAACCTAACACGCGAGACCGGCGTTTCTTCCATTGGTCACACTGATTGTTCGTTCCGTTGCCTATGTTCTCCAATCTCCATCTGAATTTCAGAGTTAACCTCAAAATTATGTCTAATCTTATTCTTAAAAATCTTATTCGCAATCTCTCTGATGATATGCAACTTAATTTTTATGTTTAGGTAGGTCGGTTTTTTGTATATTTTTTTTCCAACATACAAGACTTTAGACTACACAGGTACACACCATCGAATAAAAATAAAATACATGGCGAAGATACAACGACTATGTGTTCTTATTACTTCCTAGAAGTTACATTGTGAGTAAACTATGTCATTTATTTATTTTTACTAATACTTCAATTTAATTTCATTAACCTTGTCAATTTTACTTATTTAGAAATGTTCTCGATAAAAAGGGCAACGACATTGATGTGAATGACCGACAATTTTCATTTTATATCAAGGAAGCACTCAAAGAAATATTTGGACAGGTATAAACTGTTAACTAATGTATAATATTTAATTATTTAAATGTATTTTGTTATTGTTTTTCTATTGCTTAATAACTCTAAGTACTGGTTGTCATTACCTACTATTTACACCCACAGTATTTTAAAACTTTTGCTGACCATCACATTTACAGTCCACACATTTTGTAATCAAATCTGTATTATATAAACATTTTGAACAAACAAATTCAATAATTTTGATTTTAATAAAAAATAACATTTGTTTAGTACTCATTAGATTTATTAAAAATTATGTTTACTTTTTTCAATATAAATGCTCACTTCCATAATAGTATTATTAAAATCCTAAATTAAATGTTCTAAACATTAATAAATACATTTTGTTTGTGTCTTATTCCGATGCAACAGTGTGCAAATATTTTTTTTGGAAACAATATCTTATTTTATATACATAAAAATTAACTTTAGTCCTAATTATTAACCAAGCAATTTTATATTCAAAATATAGCAAGGTATAAATTGGTTCGATATTGGTTATACCAGTGTTTCCCAAATGGTGCCAGTGCCAAGGGTGCCGTGAGGATTTTGGGAAAAAAAAATTTTTAAACAACATTTTCAATTTGATTTTTTTTTATAGCTAAATTTTTATTTTTATTTTTGTAGCTGAACATTGAACACACATAGTCCATCTAACCTATATTCTTCCATAGAACTTTTTGTTATTATCATTAGAAAAATAAATTTATTATAATTATAAAAAATAACAATATAATTTTTTCTATGGGCGCCCTTGGTGGTTACAAACTATTACCTGCAGGCCAAATACGACCTATGGTCATTTATTAATCTACCAAACTTTAAAAAATAAAATTACTTCAAATTTCAAAAATTAACACACATTAAAATAAGACATGTTTATTAGGGTGATCCTTATTTTGTCAATTTCAAAATTCCTTCTAGGACACCCACCCCTTTGTGTCATATAGTAAAAAAAAATAACCTTTAAAGTTTGAGGCCGTTTGGATAATATTTACTGGAAGCACATTATGTTTGAATATTTAATATTACAAAAAATGCATTAAATCAAAATAAATAGTGTACAAACGACCATAGTTTGTTTGGATTTGATTTTATTAATAAATAAAACCAAGAACCTATTTTAATTACATTTTTGTTGCCATAATATACATGAAGATTTTTTTAATGGGAGACTTAAGAAATTAATAAGCGCTTAATTATTTCAGGTTTTTTTTTTTACTTTTTTGATACATTTTTATGAACTTATTTTAATATTTATAAAAAAATCTACATTCTAAAATATATTCCACAATGTGTTTTGTGAATATGTAGAACTCGCTTAATTTTAATTTTAGAGTAAAATTACCTATTATAGATTTAAAAGAAAACAATATTCCAGATATAACATTCAATACATTTTTATTTCAGTTCAAATAATAGCATGTGTCTATATTATATTGATTAAATTAAGTACATTGTTTTAATTTCTTAAGTTGTATAATTCTTGTGCTTAACAATGGTCTGATATTCAAAATAATTGTATAATTTATTGTTATTAGGTAGTATTTATTCTTATATATTAGGGTGGACTGATAATTAATGGCTGTAACTTTAAAACTACTATACATTAAAAAAAATACATAAAAAAACCTGTATAGTAAATCCAAAATTATTACCTTTATTTACATACTGTTACTTTTTAAAATAACTATCTTCTAGAGCAATACATTTTTTTCAACACTGAATCAGTTAAGAAATGCCGTCAAAATAAAATACTTCAGTTTGTGCTTTGAACCATCATTTAACTTGTCAGAATTGAAATATGTAGATACCTTCGGGATACTCTTACATTATAGCACGACTGCAGTAAGGTTTTGTGATAAAGTAGAAATTTGTTTTAGTATTCTTACTTTCTTAGTGTCTTTATATATTGTAAAGAATATTGACAGGTTTAATATTTCCTGCGTCAAAAAAGTTCAATTGTAGCTCGCTATTTAAACCAAACATTTGGAGAAGCCATCATTATAGATAACGCAATTAATAAAGAAAATAACTTTAAATTATTATGTATTCCTTCACACTAAAGTAACAACATAACATATAATTCTCAATAAATGAAAATTTTATTATAAATTTAAAAATAATTATGATATAAGAGGCATTACTTATTAACCCGTCCTCATATATTAGAAAATCAAACAAATCTTTGAATAGTATTTGTTTTTTTTTTTTTTTTTTTTTTTTTTTTTTTTTTTTTTTTTTTTATCTTACTTAATTACTTGGTGAAAGAAATATTTTAAATATATCTATTTTTTATTTTCACCAACAGCAGTAGGAGAACTGTTTTTACATTACACAATACATCTATTGATTGTACTTATGTGATCTAAGTGTTGAAACTATTCTAAACTCAAATATTTATCTACAATTTCATACTTATAGTTTATAAACTTGGTATTTGATTTAAATAATAATAAATAAAACAAGCATATTATATATCTATAACATTTTATTATTTTAACTAAAAATTATTTTGGGTATTGATTTAGATATTTTTAAAAAACTTACATTTTTTTTTTTTTTTTGTTTTTAGGTTGGATCAAGTATCAATTTTAGTGTGCTCAAATTTGTAGCCGGAAAAGGCATAATTCGGTGTCCATCTACATTTTATGTCAAATTTCGGGGTGCTCTTACTTTATTTGGACGTCACCACTCTAATACTGTTGCATTTGATGTACATCGTGTATCTCCTTGTTTAATAGCATTTATCACAAACGATTCCACCTACGAACATGTCTCAAGTTTATAAAGATGGTAAAGACACAATTATATTTGCTACAAAAGAAGATCACCAATCACCTAGTAATGTTGTATTATCGCCACCAGAACCATCACCTGGTCTCATATTCCCTGACGGTTCTATCAACTGGAATTGCCCTTGTCTTGGTGGTATGGCTACTGGCCCTTGTGGAGTTGAGTTTAGGGAATCATTTACTTGTTTCCATTATAGTAAAGAAGAACCTAAAGGTATGGAATGTAGGGAAAAATTCACAGCTATGTGGACTTGTATGGACCAATATCCAGAAGTTTATAAAGATGGTATGAAAGACGATGAAGAATTTTTAAATACAGAAGAACAAGGTGATAAAATTGTCGATAGCAAACAAGCTGAAGTCCAAAATAAAGAAAAAAATTCGTAGAATTTGTTATTGCATTGTTTGTTGTAGAATTTTTTTTTTGTTCTAAATAGATGTTTTAGGTATTAAATATATATTGTTTTTATGAGTACTTAAATTTATTCTATCAATGATAACTAAGAATTTGGTTTATAAATGATTATGCTTAATATTTACAGAGATTGTCTAGTTCCTTGAAAAATGTTGATCAAAAATAGATAAACATTTAAGCAAAAAATAATAATGGAAAATACTTTATTTTAATACTGTTACAGAAATATTTCATGATTAAAACTATTCTTGATATTATAATTAAGTTGGTTATCAAGGACTAACTATCAATAATATGCTGGTTTCAAACTAATTTATATCAAAGTACATAGTTTCCTTTTTTACTTTATTCAACACATCTATTCTAGTGAATAGCAGCTATTTTTGGTGGAGTGATATTTTCCCCTGGTACATTTTTTATAGCAGATATTTCACAACGTATTTTTAAAAAAAGTCATTTGAATTTTATTTGTCGATAAATGTCTTAATTTTGTTTTTATACAAAATAAAATAAAACTTAAATTTTCAAATATCCTCATTTAAAATTATAGATAATCACAAATTTTATTTTACAAAAAATCCATTGCAGTTATGATACTAATAAAATCTTAAATTATGGTCAAAACTCATCAATTCCTTAGTCGAATAACATTCTTATACAATCTTACAACATGTACCTACATTGAGTAAAACCATTTATATGAAAACTTAAAAACAGCATTATGTATTAAGTATTGGTTATTACTTGTAAATAAGTAGGGATGAAAAATTCCAATTATTTTTATGTAAGTTTATTTTATTAACAAAATTGTAGATATTACATTTTTATAAGTTAAAATTGTAGAATTGAAGTTGTACAATTTGTTTGAAACATCACTTATTATTATAATATTTGTTTTGTTTTAAATAAAGAATGGCCAATAACAATAATACATGTATTAAATATTACTGTAATATATATACTGTATGAATATTTATTCATTTATTTGTAATCAAATATATATTTTTTAAAAATGTACCTGAGTAAAATATCCTACTACATCAAAAATAATCTATGAATTCTCAGGAATGGAAATTTATTGGTGTACTCTTAAATTCAAGTAGCTACTCTATTTTATGTAATATATATTAGAACAATATAATTATTTGCGTATGACATGGCAGACCTCATGCATAAGTGTCCATAGATGAAATTTCATAGAGGTAGCCAAAAAAAAATGCTAATAAATGTACCGTTGTAGTAGGTGTAAACTGTAAGATACAAAGTTATTTAATTATGTATAAGCAACGAAATATGAATATGATTCCAAGTGAAATTGTACCATTGATTTTATGATACAGTGGTCGCCGCTGCTTATTATAATCACAATTAATGTTATCGATAAGTACGAGCCGGATATATACTTAAATGTGTAAATTATGTCGAATATTGTAATCAATAAACCGCATAATGTTATCATTTTGAGGTCATTGTACGATTATATTTAACATACGATCAAAGTTGTCATCGAATAATAAAGATAAGAAAAATAATAATTCGGCTCAATGTAAAGATAAAAATGTTTATACACATTGATATCTTACTGAAGAAGATATTATACATGCTTTATCACAAACAAATGAACCTGAAGAAATTGAGCTCCAGCAACTAACAGATACTGAAAAACCTCAAAGGTCCTTTGAAACAAGAGAGGCCTTACGAATATTACGAAGGAGAGTGCAACATCCTTCATCAAATTTTGAAATACAATACAAATACCAACATTTTATCAATGATCTTTTAACGGTAAAAAAAAACAGACATCGATTTATTTATTTTATAATTTTAAATTTTGTATTCCTACAATCTACATATGTACTTTAATTATTAATAAATAATATTTTTTAATACTATGTGTATATTAAATTCGATGCAACTATTGTTAATACATTATTATTATTTTTTTTTTTTTTTTTGATTTCACGTATGTTCTATATTTTAATTTTTTCAACTTTCGTTTAGTGTTAATCGGATTATGTTATCAATTATGTCCCGTACCAAAATGATTACATTAAACGGCGAACACTTATCAAAGTCAAACTTTAAAAACCGTACTAATTTTTCAATATATCTATATATATATATATATTATAATAAAAAGTAATAATGATTATTAAAAATAATACATGAAACGGTTTATAGGTAACCATAAGTTCTCACTTATCCTTATCGAGATTACCTATTAACTGTTTATCATTAATTTTATTACTTTTTATATATGTATATAAGTCCAGTATAAGAGTACTAGTATATATTATATAGTAATCATAATATTAGATTATAATTACAGAAAAATCTCTTCAGTACCTATATGAAAGTAATTGACTTTAAAACAATGGTTAAACAAATCAAGTCATCTATGGATTTATACATACCAATTATAATCGACGATTTGTACCTCTAGTTTTTTTACATTTTATATAATAAAGGATTTACTTTTTATATTTTTATGTCCCCTAAAACAAAAATACCAGCAACTTTTTATAAAGTAAAAAAATTAATTTAAATTTTATAATTATTGCTCTATTAAATAAAGAGGTAAGTACCTACCTACGAAAAATATTTTTTATAACATTAATGACTGTGCTGTATATACCTACTACTTAAACCATACCTATACCTATAAACCATACCAGTACCTACCTACTACTTCGTTTATTTTTTTATCGAAAATTTGATTTAAACTACATATTTATTTATTTATTTTTTTTTTAATAATTCCCGTGGTTCTATGAATGTTCTCTTAATTAACATTATAGTTTTTTTTTCATGATTACACAACTATCGTAGATGCCGAAAATTTCACCGAATATTTTAAATACTCCAATAGGTACTTATATACCAGCTATCACCTAGGTGAACCATTTAAGTGAGTACACTCATTATTTTGGAAAATATTAACTTTTTCCGGAATTTGTTTTCTAGAACATTTAAGAAACAAGCTGATCTACACTTTTCTATTTATGTTATTTTTTCACACTTATTTTCAGGGTAAAACCATTACCTACTTTTTATTTTCAAATGGCAACCTATATTAAACATTTCATAAATAGGTGGAGTATTAGTTAAAATAAATTTTAGTGTTAACCTTTTTGATTTCCGTCAAACCATTGATGAGATATTCCACTTATAAGTTTGGAATAAAGGAGAGTAGTAGAGTCATTTGCGTTGCGGTACGGCAAGCGGCGTACTAATAATGCAGTATTAATATAGGTTCCCATTTTAAAATCAAAAGGAGGTAATGGTTTTACCTCCAAAAATAAGGGTGACAAAAAATAACATTCATATAAGATTGTAGAGCTGTTTGTTTCTTAAATGTTCTACAAAACAAATTCCGAAAAATGTTTATACTTTCCGAGATAGTGAGTGTACCCACTTAAATAGATCACCTAGTATAAATCTTTTTTCCAAAAATGATAAATTGTTCAGCATAAATGTAGTTTAGTGCTCACACGATTATTTGAGTTTTTTTTCTTCAAAATTTGTGCTTTTAATGCTTAATTCATTGGTATAATCAAAACTATCATACTTACTTTTATAATTTTTGTACATAACCCTTGAATAATAGCATTATTGGAATTCATCCAAAGTATGGTCAAAAATTAACATTTTTTTATTAGGTATTATTATTTTTAATTATTGAGATTTCGATAAAAAGGTTTTTTTATTAAAGTCAGAATAAGACTATCTGGTTTAGTTTTAGAGATACAAATGTTCAAACTCTAGTGACTCCGCCAAGTCTACGATTCAATTGAATTCGAAATTTTCGTAATATTTTTAATTTTCGTTAAAATTTGATATTAAAATTCTTATAAAAAAAATAGTACTTTAAACTCAACTTTTTCTTGTTGGCCCTAAGTAAGACTTATAATGATCTACCTATTGAATTTTCAAGAATTTTTGTTATGTCTAATAATTTTATTCACAGATTTCCTACCAAATAAAAATTATGTAAAAAAAAATCGTATAATTAAAATGTCTATAAATATCTCAAAAATAGCTCTAAATTTTTAAATTTTACCACGTCTAGAAAAAAGTATTCTGTTTAAATTTAAATCTCAATGAATATTTTTTTAGTGAATTACAATCAAAAAACAAAACTGGAAATATGAAAAACGACAATAATGTCATAGATTTTCCCGTTCTTTCTACTTATTATTTTCGATTTTGCTCGATTATTAAAAAAACTACTGGGAAATTCAAAAATAATTTACTTCGTGAAGAATTATAGTTTCAAAATGTAAAAAAGGGTTTTTTTGGAATTTTTTTTCTTATAATATTTCTAGTAGAAAACATAGTTTGTAAAAATTCAAAACAAGGAAATCGTTAACGCTATTTTTCCTGTATTATAATATAAACTTAAAATTGTATTTCATGTAAATTCTAATATTAATAACCTATTTTTATATGCCTACAGTACTCTCGTCTGCTTATTAATTAGTCAGTTATGGAAAACCCTAACGTTATAACTACTAAATGTCCGTGGAATTTGAGTTCGTATTTTGGGAGATGGATGTATTATTCTTGGATTACTAATCCTAAATTGAATTTCACCAAGATTACTACAATTGAAGAGGCTAAAAAATTGCACATTTTTTCTGTGTATGACCTGTTTTTTTTTTTTTTTATCTAATCATCAAAATAAAAAAAATGAAATTCTAATGAAAATAGCTAATATAATAGAAGAACAATTAGAAAAAATTAACATGCTTTCATGACTATCTATTTATAGATACAAATTATAACAGTAATATCTATATTGAACAAAACAATTGAACTTGCATTTATTTTATTTTAACGATTAATAATTTACTGTACTTATATAGTTAATGAATTATTCTTTTAATGATAGATATGAACTGAATACAACCGATATTTCAGAAGCGCGAATTCTTTATGCAAAACAGGTCTACGAAAATGCATTTCACCCGCACACAGAAGAAAAACAAAATGTTTTAGGACGA